ACAGATTTTGTGCAAACTTCACATAAACCATCTACTAAATATTCCGAACAAAGCCTAAACATTTGGTTCGGATAGTGAGCCCGTTCTTGAGTTATAAAATTACAACGAAAAGTGGCATTAATTTTTATAAAGCGGACGATGTTTCGGGTAAATTCTAGTAGTGTATCTAGTACCTAGAAAGCGTAAATGGTGGATTTTATGTATAGATTATAATAATAATAATGGCGTTATCTGACATTCAACTGTTTATAACTACTCCTCTCCATCCAAAAGTTACCTGGAAGAGATCGCTTTTAGCGATAATGCCGCCCATTGTTTTCTCAGTGTGAACATTTCTTGAAATTGTTCGTATCTATTTATATTAAGTTTACTACTGTAATCTTTTGGAGAAAACAATAAAGAGTATCTATATATCGTAGGCAGAGATAACAGAAAATATAATTGACTGCACCGTCATCATAACAAAATTAAACTAAAACAGTAATTTTAAAATAATACATATAATACTCATATTACCTTTTTTTATGTAACTTAGAACAAGCTTACAGTCTACCTGATGGAAAGTGGCAACCGTCGCCTATAGATATGAGCAGTATCATGAACATAACAGAGTATACTGTTTCGCCCATGATACCCCCCATGCGTTGCCACTCCTGAGGACTCAGGTGTTATTCCTCTGTACCTTGTAAATTCACTGCCGACAACCGAAACACAGCCATGCGAATACAACTGCTTCACGGTAGAAACACGAATGGGACAGAGGTGCCCAAGCAAACGTCTTTCGTACAAAGTCTCCCTCTGGTAAACTTACCTGGTTACCTACATTATACATATATATATATATATATATATATATATATATATATATATATATATATATATATATATATATATATATATATATATATATATATATATGTATAATGTAGGTAACCATGTACATTATATGTGGGTCATAATCTCATATTCATACTAAAGAACACTCCACTAAGTCCTTGACAACATTCAGCTAAAAAAAGAATGCTCTCAAAATATAAAGGAACACTTAAAAGAATGGAATGTAGATACTTAGGATGGCATTGGGTTCAAGGATTTTATAAGATCAAAAAACAAGTTGTTATTAACGAACGGGATCCTCCTTTGTCTTTTTATCTTGTAAGAAGAAAATTAATATGATAATACTAGTTTTAACCTGCGACATTTCCCGTTTGACCGTAATATATTAATTGGTCAGGATAATAGTAGACTATGATCTTTTTCCCGTGGCCGCATGGGTGTCGTAAGAGGCGACTAAGGGAACTTAATGGCTCTCTTAAAATATCACCAAAGGCTAACTATGGTTGCCAACCCGCCTGACAAGCGTGGCAACTAATAGCAAAACCCCTCCATTATGGGGGAGGTCTATCTTCAGAAGTAAACAGTTAACAGGTAAATAGGTGATATGATATTGATGATGATGATAATCTTCATCAATATCATCATATTCATGCTAAATAGATATATATATATATATATATATATATATATATATATATATATATATATATATATATATATATATATATATATATATATATATATATATATATATATATATATATATCAAAGATCTCAACTGATTATACCTCTAAAGCGCCGAAAATTTACGAGCATACGAACTCACCTTCATGGTTATAATATTAGTACTTTAGGCTTGCTGGAAGAGAACTCTTTTAGAGTCAAGCTCGCCTTTGTACATTTACTTACCTCTGTCATATTTTTATGTACAATCAGTGTGTATAATAAAGTATAAATACGAGTAAATAACTCTATTTTTTAATATCATTTAAAAACTAACTATAACAGTGAAGAAATTGCAAAAGTTTTGTGAAGATGTTCGAGTATTTGTTACTAAATCTCAATGTTACTACTTCAAAACTTAGACGTAGCCTTGTACGTCTAAATTCATGCAAATTAATTCAATTAGTTATAAGTGACTGTAAGAATAAAGCGAATATATCATTGAAGTTATGTTTAAAAGTGTTTGAAGCTTTCCATGTCGAATTATTTTTTCGTTTGACATAACGATCTTTTAAATTAAATTCTGTTTTTAGAAAATATGTAATCATTATGCTACCTTCAAAAGAAAATAAAAGAATCGATCGCTGTCCAATTCCTTTTGTCAAGACTAGTTTTACCCAAAGACAGTATCAGTTTCATGCTCCTTATTTATATAATATAATATAGTAAATTAATTATATAACATTAAAAAAGCAAATAATAACATATTAAAAAAGATTCTAAAAGAATGGCTGGAAAGATTTGATTATGATGAGACTGAAAACTTGCTTGGTGTTGATAAAACTTACAGTACATAACCGTAATTGTATAGATTCAATATAGATAAGACGAATAGAGTTACTGGATTTATATATAGAAGTATATATAAAAGTATAAGAACAAACAAACAACAAGGGGTTTTACCAATAATTGCCACGCTTGGCAAGCGGATTGGCAACCGTAGATAGTTTTTTTTATACAATTTAGAATGGCAAACAAGAACGGCCCACCTGATGGAAAGTGGTAACCGTCGCCTATAGATGTGAGCAGTACCATGGACATAACAAAATATACTGTTTCGCCCATGATACCACCCATGCATTGCCATTCCTGAGGACTCAGGTGTTATTCCTCTGTACCCTGTAAATTCACGCCATATCCTACCCTTCAAATCGAAACACAGCCATGCAAACACAACTGCTTCACGGTAGAAACACGAATGGGACAGAGGTATCCAAACAATCGAATTTTGTACAAAGTCTCTCAAAATGTTTTAAGAGGGGCACCGCGCCGCTGCCCAATTTTTGACTATTAAGTTCCCTTAGTCATTTCTTACGACACTCACGGGAAAGAAAGGAGTGGCCCTTTATGTACCGAAACTGAACAGCGATAAAAATATATCATTTCTCATTATCTCCGAAATTTGTGAAGCGATTAATCTTTACCAACGGGTCTTTTTATACAAATTTTGTACGAAAGTCATCTCCTTGGGTACCTTTGTCCCGTCCATGTTTCTGCCGTGACGCAGAAGTGCTTGCATGGCTGTGTTTCGATTTGAAAGATATGCCAGTAAAATTGCAGCTAACAGTAAGCCATGTAGGTTCTGGCATAGAATAGGCCACCACTTCCTTTCTCGCTGATGTCGTAAGAGGCGAGTATGAGAGCTTATGGAGAGGGATGGACAGCAGCGTCTCTCTTAAAACATCACCAAAAGCCAAACTGCAGTTGCCAACCCGCCTGCCAAGTGTGGCAACTTCTAGCAAAACCCCTTTATGGTGGAGGCTATGTTCAGCAGTGGACAGTTAATAGCTGATACAACAACAACATAGGCAGCACAGTATAATAAACAACATTCATGTTTTCATTGTATTGTAGTCTTTATTATTGCGTTGAAAAAATTTTCACTGATACCTAATGTCTTGTTTGTTTTCTTTTAATTGTAATGAACAAAAGATTTGTTTACACCGCGTAAAAACAAAAGAAATATTATTGTTTGGCTTTTAATTTATAAAAGTGACGTGGGGCTGTTTTTGACGCTATCAATCTAATTAGATATCTATATATAATATATAAAACCAAGTCGTGTTTTTTTTTGATGGGTGAAAATGGTATGGTAACCCCACCTGCGCTAACGGGATACGCTGGCGGAGCACCAGTGAAGGGTGACAGATGAGAACAAAAACAGGCCAGTTAGCCCATCATGATGAATTCATCAGAAATTAACCATGATAGTTTCCAGGGAGAACCGCGAGGAGGTCGACCTGGTTAGGTGTATTGCTAGCAATGGGATTCTCAGTCTCCATTACTAACAATCTCTTTTCCCCCCAACTAAGTCGTGTTTGTTCAAACACTTGTAACTCGAGAACGACTGAACCGATTTTCATGATTTTTGATTTATTGAATTTGTCTGCGTCCCGAATAGTAGAATATTAAATTAAACACTACTAAAACTAATGGAAAATTGATGAAAAATAAAATAAAGGAAAAAACATTTACCCATAGAAAATGTTCATGGGTTTCATACCTGTTAAATATTTAGAGGTAATATTAATCCAGTCGGTACGGTAAATTCTCCTCTCAAATTAAAGAATCTATTTAAATAACGAAATATAGTTGATACTATATAGGTGATGATATATAAATGCTGATATTTAGATTTGTAATGAATAGATTACTGTTATGTGATGCGCAGAGAAGAAGAACATGTTTTAAGAAATGTCTTATGGATGGATATAAAGGTCTGTGAAAGATAATATCACTAGAAAGGGAATTAATACGGAAATGACTGTAAATAGAGATTAATGGAAGAGGAAACATATTACGCCGACCCCAAATAATTAAGATAAGGGAATGTAATCAAAGGGAGACTGTACAAAAGTCGTAAAAAGTAGTTGCTTGTGTCGAGTTTCAGCTGGGAAGCTTCTGTGCTTGGATGATTGTGTTTTAGTTTGAAATGTGGGATATGACAGTGAAATTACAGTGTCATCGTTATCATGTCATCCTTCATCTGCCCACTGCTGTATATAGGCTACTCCCATAGACTACAATACCATAGACTACCATAATAAACTGTCCTGAACTACCTGCATCTAATAAAACCTGCAAACCATTTGAGATTGGTACTCTATCTAGTAGGGGGTCATCTTGGATTGTGTTTGCCTATACACTTACTTACTGTAGATTTCACTTGAGTTCCTATTGGTTCTCGATTCTTGGAGTTATATGACCATTCCATTGACACATCAGCTTGCTTATCCTTCGAGCTATGTAGGTCACTTTATTCCAAATTACAGTGTATGAAGGCATAATCGTACCTTCTCCTTTCTTCTCAGGAATAGTATAAAGAGTACCGTGCTCTTACCGTTCATAGTACTTTCATGTCTATAAGCCAGGGTTGCCACTTTCCATCAAGTGGGGTATCAGCTTGTTTGCTATTCTAATTGTGATGTTATTGTTTCCAGGTGTAATCTCATGCTACGATGCTGGACGAGCTCGGCCCCACTGCGGAGTCCAACAGGTCAACAGCATACGTGAGCGACCTGCACAATGTCTACGTCACCTTCTACGACGAAATCAACAAAGTCTATATTAACGACACTCAGAATGGTACTGAGGTGAGTCACAACAATTAATTCAAAGCGGTTTTTTTTTATAAATGATAACTTTTTTTTATACAATTTAGAATGGCAAACAAGCTGACGGCCCACCTGATGGAAAGTGATAACCGTCGCCTATAGACATGAGCAGCACCATGGACATAACAGAGTATACTGTTTCGCCCATGATACCCCCCATGCGTTGCCATTCCTGAGGACTCAGATGTTATTCCTCTGTACCCTGTAAATTCACGCCATATCCCACCCTTCAAACCGAAACACAGTAATGCAAACACAACTAATTCACGGTTGAAACACGAATAGGACAGAGGTACCCAAGCAATCGACTTCTGTACAAAGTCTCCCTCTGGTAAAAGTGGAATAGTAATCCTGCTTGTGATATGGGTATGCGGTAAGGAGGACAAATGAGGACGAAAACAGGTCAGTTGGTCCATGGTGATTAATTCATCTGAAAGTAATCACGATGGTGTCTAGGAGAAACCACGTAGAGGTCGACCTGATGATTTGCCAACCATGGAGCAGCCGAACCACATTACTAACAATCCCCCCACAATATTATTGACTCTCTAGTTACCTCTCAATTTGCGAAACTTTATTAAAATCGTTTCGAAAATCAGTGTGAACGTACATAGTGACACAACACAAGATTTTTATAAATTAAAATACTCATATTTTAGAATCCAATTTATTTCTTATAATACTTTCTGTACCTAATATTGTTGCAAATATTGTTATAAATTAAAAAAAAATGATGAATTCTTTTTCATATTTCAGGTTATTGACCTATTAATCCTGTTACCATGTTTCATTATATCAAAGCCATTTCTAAATATACCTATATAGATACCTAACAATGTAATTCAATAAGCAGTACTTATTGTAATATTATAAGCGAAAAATTTATAGAACAATCAAGAAATTTGCAATTTCGATACAAATGCCCCAAGTGATATCCATAGAAACAATTTTTCGGGACGATTTATCATTTTCATAAATGTCGGAATATTATTGCTTATTACACTCTGTATATACAGAATATGATCAACATGGCATAAGAGAGCATAAATCATCAATATGCGAGAACTAAGGGTGGGTAATATATAGCTATATCTATATATTTTAGTTATAATATCTATATATATTGGCCTAATAATAACAGATATATTGTAGGTTATCCAATATATAATATTGAAAAAAAAAACCTGCTCGTAATGAATATAGATATCCGACTGGTATAGGTAATATCATAACGGGTGAAGACCGCAATATATAGATATCTGATATTACTCATCTCTAGGGAGAACAAGTATTCAATAGTACTACTCCTACAGAAGATAATGAAGAATTGATTTTGACGCCTTCCCTGCCGGAGTAGTGGGCATGTTGCTTTACGTGAATAGAGTTCAGGTTTCGATTTATGGTCACAAAAAATCAGGAAATAAACTTTTCTAATTTGGCAGAGCCTAACTGCGGTTGTCAATCCACCTGCCAAGCGTGGTAACTACTGGCAAAACTGACCTTCTGGGAAAGGCTTATGTTCAGCAGTGGGCAGTTAATGGCTGATATGATGATGATGATGATGAAGGTTGTGCCCCAGACGTTGTAGTTGTTTGGTTCCTTATAATATATCCCAGCTTCAGAACTAAGTGATTGGTGTGATCGTGTAGTAGTTATTAGTATTATTTGTGCAGGTCTACCAGTCATTCATCCTGCCATGGTGGCGCCAGGTGCTATGGACGGTGCTGTTCGCAGGCATGGTGGTTGTGGCCACCGTGGGGAACCTCGTCGTTATATGGATAGTGCTCGCCAACAAGAGGATGAGAAGCGTCACCAATTACTTCCTAGGTTTGTAAATTGTGGTACTCGATATAATAACAATAATTTACTAGAATTATTGTATAAAAGTTTTCTGTTCACTTAATATTGTTCACTTGATATTGCAGGCGTTCATAGTAATCACTTATCATCAGGTGAGCCGTATGCTTGTTTAACACCTTAGTGGTATAAAAAAAGGTAAATTATAGAATATATTGGACGTAATATATTCTATAATTTCCGTGGTGTCCTTTTTTAATGGGATGGATATAATAGCATGATAATCTCATCTGTGTTATTGGTATAAACGGGCGGAATATCAGTGAGGGAGGAAAAATGAGAATAAAGTCAGATCAATCAGGCACTATCATAATTCATTCATCAGGCATTAACCACGTTTTCTACATTCTATCAGTAGCTATTCCAAACTGTATAATAAAGCTAACATTGAAGTTAATTCCGACACGTCATGTCTCTAAACTTTTTGAATATTATTTTAATTTGATTCTTTCATGAAATTTCTTTTTTATGTACAATTTGATTAATCGCAAATTTTTACTTAAATCTATTAAAATAAATTTTTAATTTATATTAATTCTTACAATAAAAATTTTGCTGATATTAAAATTGGAATTTTAATTTTAGAGATGGGTTTAGAGAAACGATACCTCAAAATCGACCCCACTGTTTACCAACGGAAATTATGAAAGGCGCTCTTAGATATCTATTTTGCTTATTAATTTTGACGCCAACCACTTTACTGGCTTACCTATTGTGTTCTAGTTTGTTGAGAATATAGCATTGATTCCTGTCAAAAGAGCCAAAAAATGCACAAATGAAACCATTAGCTATGCAAATAGTATTTTTTTCATACAACTTAGAATGGCAAACAAATAGACATGAGCAGTACCATAGAAATAACAAAGATGCCATTCCTCTGTAGCGAAACACAGCCATGCAAACACAACTGGTTGAAACACGAATGGGACAGTTGAACAAAGAAGTAATTATTATATGCTTGAAACGCTTTGAACGTGTGCATTTTTTTTTTTTTATTGGGTGATAATGAAATGGTAACCCCGCCTGCGCTATCGGTATACACTGGCGGGGCCAGTGAGGGGTGATAGGAGACGATGAAAGCAGATCCGTTAGCCAATCGTGGCGAATTGTACTAAAACTAATCACGATAGTTTCCAAGAGGAACCGCGTGGAGGTCGACCTGATAGGGTGTATTGCTATGTTATGTTATGAAGTTATGTTATGTTATGTTATGAAGTTATGAAGAAATAAGACCCCATTACTAATATTTTTTTTTTCTCACAAGCGTTTACATTATGAAACAGCAATACAGTGATGACATTTAGTAGATAAACAAATAAACAATGTACCTCTTTATTCGCGACGTATAACAGTAGTATAGCTATTTAATTTGAGCGGATAATGTAAACATAATGCTTTTGAAGTGGCAAACAAGTTGAGTGATCCAAAAATAAAAGTGTATGCAGAGCAAGACAGAAGAAAATATTTTCAATCTAGTCCACACTTCTGTGTTTTGCTGATAATGGTGTCTCGTTTAAATATATCATTGCGTTTCATAATCTATTAGAGCCCTAATAACAAAGATTTCTGTAATTCCTTGTTTATAGCCTAAGAACAAAATCTTTGTCAGGGTCACGTGGGCCACGCGTACTCTTTTAAATCTATACCAAAATACTTTGTATTTGCGTCAGATAGAAACCTTTGAGGTAAAACAGAATCAGAGATGGAAACTTATAATTTGGATGTAAACGATATTTATTGAAAAAGTATTTATTGTTAGATAAGAAGTTTTCCTATATTTAACTAAAATTTTTTGATATTCGGTGTACAATTTTATGACAATATAATATAATAGATATATCAATTTCGATTTTGCTTATCTTTTAAAAGTTAATTTGAAACTTCATATATATATATATTAGTAGTTGCTTTACCAGTCTTTCCCAAAAAGAAAAAAACAATTTTATTATTTTATTATTTACAAGAAAACGTGTTAGAATTATATGAGTATTATTTACACGTCTGAAAATATAATAAATCTATTGTTTAGATAATACAGAAAAATATTATTATGATAATGGAAATCTTGACGTATGAAACATGATCGAGCATTAGTTACAATATTGTAATTCAGCTATAAAAACTGAACATGTGATAAATTGATCTAATACAGCTTCGAATGTCTAGCATGCTTGATGATCTCTATTATTTTATAAATTTTTCCAATAACTCACTTTCAACGATTATATTGGCAATAAATTTATTATGATCAGATACTTGGCAATGATTGTCACAGAAATCCATTCCACTTCATTCGTATTACATTCCAATTAATGACAAAATTAATTTAGAAACAACACTTGGCACTAATTCTCATAGAATTACAAATAATTGTTTGACTTTAATCTTGATAAAATTAATATAGGAACAACATTTGTAATTGTCATAAAACCACAAATAATTGTTCGACTTCGCTTTTGATAAAATTTAAATAATACATAACAATATTTTTTTTATATAATTGCAAGTAATTGTTCAAAAAATTGTCACAAAACAAAGAATAATTGTTAAAATTCAAGAATGAAGAAATTGATTTGGGAATAACAGTTTAGAATAGTTGTTATAGAATTTTGAATAATTGTTACACAACTGCTCCAATCGTGACGAAGTTCGGCCAACTCGAGATTTTGATAACTTACAATTGATAGTTTTTGCGCCCAGGTTATTTCCATAATATTTTTACAACAAAAGATGTTCTTTTTTGTTGAACAAAAACTAAAATTTAAATTACAATCAATTCCAATTCTATGACAATTATTATTAAGCAAATTTCTGCTTTTTTTTTTATTGCGTTATAAAATCTTAATTATGTATATCCTTTAAACTATTACTGAGCTGGATAATATGGTTCGGATTTGCATTTGTTCGGTTGTTACAAAAACCCTCCAAACTTTGGATGAAAAGTGACGTCACGCGAATAATTTGAATTAAAACTTTCTCCTTTTCCAATGAACCATATTATAGGTACATTTACAATTTCTATTGCTTCAAATCGGTCGTTTAACAATCCATTTTATAACAATTTTCACTTAAAGAGTTTCCCAAAAATTAAATAACATTATACGAGTATTATCGATAAGTACTTATATTAGTTTTTGCAACGACATTTTTTCCCGTTTTAGTCTTTAAACTTTCGTTAATATTTATAAAGTAAACAGTTTCTTGTATAAAAACAATCAGCTTATAAACATATGATAAAAATATTTAAAGCGATGTTTCAATACATTTCATTATCACACACAACAAATATGAAAATGATATGTTTCAACACATCATTTTTCATCTCATTTTTCATAGGTGTGTTTTGTCACGATTATTATAATAAATTGGGTAAATTTATTTACGAATACCAGAGGGAGACTTTGTACAAAAGTCGATTGCTTGGGTACCTCAGTCCCATTCGTGTTGCAACCGTGAAGCAGCTGTGTTTGCATGGCTGTGTTTCGGTTTGAAGGATGGGATATGGCGTGAATTTACTGGGTACAGAGGAATAACACCTGAGTTCCCAGGAATGGCAACGCGTGGGGGGTATCATGGGCGAAACAGTATACTCTGTTATGTTCATGGTACTGCTCATGTCTATAGGCGACGGTTACCACTTTCCATCAGGTAGACCGTCAGCTTGTTTACCATTCTGAGTTGTATAAAAAAAAAAAGAAAAAAAAATTAAGTTTACAACTTTTGGAAAGAAAACCGATGATTTACTCTTTTGTGACCAATTACAAATGAGGACTCTTTTTTTTAATTATTAGGCATATTACATTCTATTTTTCTTTAGAAATACACTTTATTTATACGATTATTAATTCACTGAGAAAATTTTTGAGTTTATAACTTACAAACAGCCGAAGTAAAGGAATAAATATTGTATAATTCTTATCAAAGTAACGGCGAAGCAAAAGTTTTCATACATATACGAGTATACAAAAACTTCTGTTACTTTTTAATTGGGTAAGGAAGGAAAACTAATGTTTTCCACTTTTACTAACTAGCTGCTGGTTACAAATGAGGATCGTTTACTTTCTACTTAGCATTGTATTGCTATTATTTACGCTCGAAGTGTTTTGTGTCTTCATTCATCATTCTCACTTCGTACAGCTAAAGAGCTGCATGTTTTTGCAACTTTATAAAATCTAGACTGACTGAAATGAGAATAGACTATTTGTGGGCCCCCGAGCTCCTTCTTACACATTTTTTTTTATAAATAAATACAGATTGTGTAAATGTTATAAAAATATATTTGAAAATAATTTTACAAATAAATTAATTATAACTTATTTATAAATAACTTATCTCATATCATACATTAATATACAAAGTAAAAAGCTAATTAAAATTTTGTTACAAATACGAACAAAGGAACCGGAAATCTGTTTTGTGATGACAAAGTGATGATACATAATTTATTTATTTAATTTACAAGTTACTGAATGGCAAGTGATTTAATTTTGCGCCAGTTGGAATAACAAAGAAGCTGACGGCCCATCTAATACAAAGTGGTAACTGTTGACTAATAGATATAAACAGCAACATAGATATTGCATTACATAACCCTTATGGACTGCCGTTACTAGAAGACGTGGATAATATGGATACCGATCCGATATCTATATATTGGTTTCCTCTGGACATTGATGAAGGAAAAAATGTCATCACCTATTTCGATATCGGCCCATACCTATTTTCGAATATACTAAAAGTCTGTTATTTTATTTTTTATATATATATTTTTTTATAATATTACATCTGGAATCAACAGCTTATATCTAGAATAATTAAAAATATTATCTTTACGCCATATATTAGCCAATTACAGATTCCCAATTTGTATACCAGACAATATAATGCTTATTTTTGGAGGGTAGGTTAAATTAAATAGAATTATTATCCATTATTATTTTTTGAATAACAGCTTTTTAATGTATTTTTAATGGAACAGTTTATAGATATTTTAACTAAAATATATACTTATTGCTATATATATTATCCTATACTAATCCCATACTAAAATATTTTTAATGGTCAAAAATGGAATGGTGTTCTTATATTCCTAAATAATGTTTTTTGGGTTGATGGTCAATAAAAACCAAATCTTTTTGAAATGGATAAAATTCTTATATTGATAATTCCTAAATAATCTACAATAGTGCTAACTCGTAAATAACACAGTATTTTTTGTATTGTCAACAGTAAACCTGTCCGTGGCAGATGCAATGGTGTCAACCCTGAATGTAACCTTCAATTTCACGTACATGCTGTATTCGGATTGGCCATTCGGACATTTCTACTGCAAGTTTTGCCAGTTTATAGCAGTGCTCAGCATATCGGCATCGGTGTTCACCCTAATGGCTATAAGTATAGATAGGTAAGTTTAAAATTTTATATTATTTTTTAATTATTAAGGTTCCATATTTAAAAGAATAAATCAAAAAAATAAATAGTAATTAAGGTGAATTACAAATGAATATTATACTTTAAGATTCCATATTTAAAACAATTAAAAAATTATTAATGTTCAACTTAATTCCAAGCATTTATCTGCATTTGATATACAGATATTCTTTTTCCTGTTTACTAAGCTACTTCAACGGGATCTTGATAATTTGCAGGTACAGATATAAAAAAGAACCTACTCGAATATGTCACGAGAGGCATTAATATCTAACACTGCTATACCAACCTTATTGTTATATTTCTTTGTTGCTTTATCACTATGAAAAAAATATTATAAATTTACATAGACTATAGAAACTAGATTATGCTCACATAAAGAAAAAAAAAACTATATTTAAGTACAAACCAAAAAACATTCTCATTTGATGTTTTAAATAAACATCACCAAAACAACGATATAAGACAGCAAATTTTTTAATTAATCCTTGCTCCGCCGCTTCTCTGAAATAATAATATGACTTCCTGAGTTTGTGAAAACTTCCGATCTTGATTGTGCATAAAATATACTGGGGTCACATTGCGCCTACCCCTATCTTTATTTTTCAAGCATGAATCGGTTTTTATCTGCCTATATATATTTTCTTTGGCATATTTATACTCTCAAATGCGTTTGGCGACAAAACTGTGCTTTTTTTAATGCCGAATTTAAAATTGCTTCTCATGTTAAATAATAATAATCATTACAAATAGCTTTTTTTTGTTTGAAAAATGGTATAAAAGATGGTATATAATATTTAAATATTGTTCACATTTTTCACCATAATATGGCGTACAAAATTTATTTAATTGTGCTACTATACTATGCTAATACTATTTTACTTATATCGTCATATTATATAAATGTAAAATTATATAAATTGGCATAATGTTTTAATTATTAAACCGGATTTACTTGCATACCTATATTTTTGTTAAAAATTACAAATTTCGTGACCATCCGGAACCATTATTCATGAGCGGCCGTTTTTCACGATTACCATTTTCCATCAGGTGGGTCGTCAGCTTATTTGCATTTCCAAATCGTATAATTAGTCTTTAAATTTTAATAATTTTGACAATTTTTCCAATCCAATCTAATTATTAATTATTTTCGACGTAATTAAATAGATTTCATAATCAGTTACCATCGTTTGGCTGTGAAATCAATGTGTCGTGCCAATATAGAAAAAAAACAAAAAAATAAATATTTAATTATTCATTTATTACAACAATGCCATTATTACTCTTGCCTAATACATTTTTTTCGATTTTTATTATATGATCAATATAGGAGGTGCGAAACATAAACATTTATATTTTTCGATTAACCCTCTGGTAATAGAAAACACCGAAAACTAAGCAACGTAATTAGATATCATGACAGGAGGCTTGCCGCCTGCCATATTGGATTCTAATATGCTCAACGAAATGTGAACATATCGAGAGTTATAATTGCCAAAACGGTAGCAGTCAGCAAATGACTCTAAATACCCCATTAAAGACTTGTCGTGAGCATTTCTTTTTATCTATGTACCAGTATATATAAAGAGTATAAACCCAAATAAAAAATATAAATGCAAGTAATAAAAAATAAAAACAAAAAAAAAGTATTAATAATCTTATTGTATAATAATATGTATATATATATGTGTATATGTATGTATGTGTATGTGTATGTATGTGTGTATATATGTATATATATTTATATTGTAAATTTTTAATGAAAAGTTTCAAAAAAGAATATCAGTGTTTTGCTCTTTTAAGGGCAAAGCAATAAACTGAGCTGTGACCATTTTGTGTTACTATGGCACACGCATGAAGGAATGTTAACAAAGGAGATTGTTTGATTATGTATTTTGTTTTTGTATTTTTGTTTTTTTTATTTTTATTCTTTTGTCTCTTTTGCTGTGTATTACGTGTATGTTTTTTTTTTTTTTTTATTTTAATTTGTGTGCTGTAAGTAATGCAAATAAATTGTCTATCTATCTATCTATCTATCTATTAAGGACGATTATGGAAAAGAGAGATTTAAAAAATCAACGTCCCGAGTACTCATGAAGAAGAAGCCGTTCATTAATATTAATAAAAAATATTAAACTTCAAATGAATAATGAATCTGTACCTTTTAATTGGCTCTTTGGTGAAGTATTTCTTTGTTTCTGACTTTAGAAAACAAAAGTCGACTGCTTGGGTACCTATACCCCATTCGTATTTCTGCCGTGAAGCAGCTGCACTAACATGATTATGTTTCGGTTTGTAAGATAGAATATAACAATGAAATTATAAGGTACAGTGGCATAACATCTTAGTCCGGGGGGAAAGGATTATTAGTATTGTGGAGTACTAGTTCCATTGCTAGCAGTATACCTTGTCAGGTCAACCTCCATGTGTTTCCCCTTGGAAACCATTGTGCTGAATTCCAGGCGCATTCATTACGATGGGCTAACTGACTCGATCTGCCTTTTCATTCTCAGAGTATTATGCCTCACTGGTGTCCCGCCAGCTTATACCATTAGCGCAAGCAGGGTTTCTATTTCATTATCATTCAATAAAAAAATCTTAGTCACAGAAATAGCAACGCATGAGGGGTACCATGGGTATATATAGTATATTCTGTAACCTCCATGATGCAATTCATGTATAAAGGGTAACGGTTACCACTTTGCATCAGATATATAATATATATTCTTTATTATCTTTATTATCATCCATTAAAAAAATATTCCCATATCCATCATGTGTACATATGGAAATATATAAATGGAAATCCGAACATAATTGTACATATTTTATATTAAACCAATCTGAATATTAAGCTGGTACTGAGCTAATAGGTCGGTACGTCTTCATTCGACACAATACGATCTTTTTTCAGCATTACAAAAACATTACAGGATATTTTTTCTTTCTTTTCTCCCCAAAGCTAATTTGAGAGAAATTGATTTAGCAATAAAACCTTTGTACTTTGTTACTGTTATATATATTTTGTATTATTGTTTAAACTGGTGCGATATTAAATACATAAATAATTTTGTTTCTAATATAAGTATCTATATTCTAATATAAGTAGTGACTTATTTATATTCATTCTTCTTATCCATTAATATTACATCTACATAAATATTTTACTCCATTTGGGTAGTACTAGTGATGTTCCGAGTTAAACGAATTCGAGTACTAACTCGAATACAGGTTTCGAGTTCTTACGGTACTCGAATATTAGTCACGTGTTTAACGTAGGTTTATATTTTGTTTTTCATCATTTCGTTCCTTAATTATTAAACGAGAATACATTTAATATCTTATGTCTCTATACATATATAACGAGGGGGGAGGGATTGTTAGTAAAGGGGAGATTAGTCCCTATTGCTATCAAAATACCCCATCAGGTCGACCTCCACGCGGTTCCCCCTGGAAACCATCGTGACTAATTTATCATTGAATTCGTCAAGATGGGCCAACTGACCTGACTTTTCATCCACACCTATCACATACTAAAACATATATAACGAGAAATTGACGAACTCACTGTGTTTTGCAGTGTACATAACGGTATGTATATGGACATTGAGTAAAAATGAACATAAATTTTAAAAATAATATTTAATATGTTCTTGAAAAATACGTTTCAAAAACCAATATAAATATTACTCGAGTCTACTCGAACACCCAAACAAATACTCGAGTACTCGTCCGAATCCTTAAACTCGAGTCAGGCTCGATTCTTTTTTAACGAGAACTAAAATACTTTAGGGCAAAAAACCCTTCCAATGGGCTTCTCTGTCATAAAATAAAATTATTCGCCAATATTCGTGTTTATTGCTTCAGCCATTCTGGCTTCGCACTAATGAATATGACTATATCACTCGTATATATATATTAGTAGTTTTATTTAGGGAAAGATTATCTAAATAACAAATTAGGGCATCGTAATCCAACACATACGTTCATATAAACCTATATATAAACTGAGAAACATAAATAAACATAGATGTATACATTTACTTTTATGTATATAGGTAGGTACTCAATTTATGTTTTTATTTACACTGGCGCATTGCATCGTATACTCCTGTATTTACACAACAGTTCTGGGTTCAATGGCGTAACAATAGGGTGGCAGAGCTAGCAAAATGCCACGGGCCCCCGACCCAATAGGGCCCCGGCTCAATTTTTTTTTGCCATGGCGGTGTAGTGCATCTGGCATGTTTGCAGAGAACAGGGTTAATGATTTTTTTTGCTATTTTACGCAAATGTAAGGCAAAATTTCATGAAAGATTAATGACAATAAGTAATCATATTGTAAAGACTGTATTCCTCACTGCATACCTGACGACAAAAGATTTTATAATGAAATAATTGAAATTAGTATTTTGTTATTAATGTGTATTTAAATAATATTAGTTTGTATAATTAATAATGTAAAAATTGTATTTAATTAATTAAAAGGAAATTTTAATCATAATAACTGTAAACTATGGGTATATACCTGAAAATAAATGATTATTATTTTTTACAAAAATTCTTATCTCCCCTCTTAAGGAGAGGAGATGGTAACTCACCCCCGGTAGAAGCACAGTCGGCCGGGGTTCAGGGCCCCAGGAAGAGAAACCGGCGTACAATGCGAGCAGTATCTAAGAGCACTGCTTTCTGCATCTTTCCCGGGAGTGAGCCGCCTCAGAATCCCAACCGTCTGCGATGTTGTTCCAGACTAGTTGGGATAAGACCGTTCACCGACAAAACGATTGAAATGATTTCGGTGGACATCACCCCACATTTCGGTCACCTCGTGAGTCAGGTCGAGATATTTTCTCTTTTTCTCGATTTCGGCATTCACGAGGTTCTCGTTATTATTATTATTATAAATAAAAGAAGCAACCAGTATTTACAAAAACTACGATGCTGTGAATGAGGTTTTTACCTATATAAAAT